CGGCTCATTTCACCACAAATAGCCGATCTCGAGATTTAACGGGCCGAATTAAATAAAAATTCTCTTTTCGAGCCTTATCACCAAACGAGCTTTAAATGAGTCGGAGCTCAGCTCGTTTATCAAATGAGCCGAGCTCGAGTTGAGTTTGACTTGTTTAATTTAACTGCACTATGTACATGTCTCTTGACCAATGTTAGTGGTGACAAGTTTCTTTGTATGGCGTAGCTCATACTTGTTTTGGACGACTATTATCACTTTTGATTCCAATATCACAGTTTTTGAAGTTCTTTTGCATGGGGACAATTAACAACTAGCTTGTTGAAGATGAGCTTTTTCTTGTTGTAGTGAATCCAATAGTATAGTTTTTGAAGTTGAAACGTAAAATTTTCGTGTGCTTGTGATTTTTATAGCTAGGTTGGAATCATTCCATGAATCACTACATGAAAAAAAAAAAAATGTCTTTGATGAAGCCATGAGTAAAGTATTGAAATCTAACACAAGTCGACGGTTCGATTCCCTTAAGGAGCTTGTGTTTATCGGAATCTAACACAAGTCGGGGGTTTTATGCAATTATCTGCACAAAATTATGTCTTGGCATGTATTAACATTTGGGGAAATACTACAGTCCCGTTACGGAACCATTTCGTCGGGATTAGTAACCGTTACATCATTATGTAACCGTCGTGGATAGTTGATCCAACGGATACAAATCCCGACGGAATGGTTCGGTAACGGGACCGTAAAATTTCCCCAACGTTTGATTGTTACAATAGAAATATAGTTGGCTCATTTAAGATTTTTGTTTGTCGTTTTTCTTGATTGTTTGTATTGAATGGATGTTTGGAACATGAGTTCAATGATCAAGAAGTCCATTTTTTAACAACTTTCCTATAACATTCCAAGAAGTTATTTCTGTATTGCGTCCTATTTAATTTGTGCACTGGCTATAAGCTGTATTATTTTTCTTTTGTCTTCGATTTCATGTCACGCATTGAGTAATTATATGGTACATTGGTGATCATAATGAGTGCTGTGGACCAGTGGCATGCCAGGTTAGTGCCAACTGCCATGTCATTGCTTGGAAATATATTAAGATGGTGATTATGTGACATGATTTATGTGGTCCATACTTGCCGGACGGCGTGTTTGG